AAAAGTATCACATCACCAACCAATGCCAATTACAATAAAAAAAATAAATTGATGGAAATGGCTCACACAGCATGCTGTACAAGTTTTTTTTTTTTTAAAGGAAAGAAATTTAAAAAAAAAAAAAAAAAAAAATCTAATCTACCATTGTGAAAGTGTTCTTTAAAAATATTCTTAAAAAACAAATAAAGATCTGCAATGAGATTATTATCATAAAGTGAAACAAGAGAAGTTTTCAATATTGAAAAACTTGTAAATAATACATTTAGGATTTAATCATTAGCAATAATTAATAAAATAAGCTTGGTTAGAATGAATTTTACTATTCAATTTGGTAGTGATAAATGGAGCACTGTTAGTGCATATTCTTTCCTTTCCGATTTGGAATTTACTAAATTTCTAAGTCTACAGATTTACAGGAAAACATGTATACCTCTAAAGATAAACTTTCATTAGCTGCAATTTACAATATTATTCTCAAATACTCATTTTATTGCAATGTAGAATATAAACAGAAAATAAAACTGAAGCAAAATTCGACAAAAACTTAAACATACCAAATTTGAAGAATGTATTTTATATTTTGATTACTATTTCCTTAATGATTTGGAATTTTTATGAAAACTTCACTTGTTCCCTTTCTGAATTGATTTCTACAGAAAAAAATAGTTTATGTTAAATAAAAGGAAGTAAAACTACAGTTAATTCCTGACTGAAAGATGTGCTACAAGTTTTATTTTTTCTCTAAGATAAACACAACATAGCAACAGACAATTTTAAACTGGATAAGGGTTAGATTATAGCTTTATCCTTTTACCAATAACACACATGCAGAAGTTCTTGTCTTGTTAGACAAAATATTTAAATAATTGTATTTTATGTGGCTAATTTCCTCATGCTATTTTACACATGTCTCTTAACCAAAGAAGGCCAAATTGTAAACACCACATATGATGACATGTATAAATTGTTAAACAACTTAAAAATGAAAGCTTAAAAATTTCTTTAAATGGATTAAAAAATATTAAATCAATTTACCTAAAGTCAGAAGTTTTAAATATTACAGAAGAAATCTATGAAAATAAAATTATTTTTTCAATTTTTTTTTTTTTTTTTTTTGTTATCAACCCTTTGAGGCTTATTTAAAGCTGAATTATATTTTGGATTCTAAGAATTTTCTTTTTTTTGGTGAGTTAATATTGCATTAACAATTCTTTGAGAATAACAATGATTTCTCCAGATAAAACTCCTCCATAGCTGGGGGAAATTAAGATAAAAATGTTACAAGATTAAAAGTTGAACAGAACACAAATTTTTGTATGAGTAAAAAGTACACAACAAAAATATGAAGTATTTTATACAGAAAACCCACACCCAAAAATGTTAATGTAAAGATAATGTGAACATCCGTTGTAATAAAGAAATATTACCAACCTGTTGTTTCACATGAGCTGGCTGTGATAGGGAGAAAGAGCAACTTGGTATTAGTGTGAAATACAACTAAAAGATGGGCATAAGAGCACAGATAATGCTATATTGTTGAGAAGCATCCTTAAGATACTCATAGAAGCAACAAAAACATTCAAACAAAGCATATAATCAAATTTTATATATATATATATATAATTATATATATATATATATATATAAAATATATAAATTCCTGCAAAAACAATAATAAATTTAATAATGATTACATTACAGTATTTTTAATTAAGTATATATAAAACAAAAAGAACAGAATTTACTTCACTCCAATCAATTGTTTAAGTGGAAAATTGAATCCTATGTATTACAGTTACTGTAGAATTGTTTTATTTCTTTAATAGAAGCAGCATCTTCAAGTTTGAATTCTGCAGTCTACTTTGATTCTAATTTTTTATTTTGAAAGAGATATAAAAGATAATGGCAAAAAAATGAAACCTCAGAGAAGAAAAAGAAATGCTAAAGCTATACTGACCTTGTCAAAAAATTCTCTCATTTAAAGAGAAATTAAGAAACCAATTTTTAATAATAGGCTTTTAATGAGATTTATTAATTTAGGATTGTTTGTTTAAAGATCAAACTGAATTTCCATCTTTTTAAACTTTAACTAAACAGATTTTTTTATATTTCAAGTCAATGAGAAAACGTTCAAGAATATTTTTTGCATGCCATACTAAATAACAGAGAGGAGACATGTTTCTATAAACAACTGGTCTCTTGGTATTAGTACACAGACATACAATATGCTTCTACACATTTTTAAGTTTGGTGGAGACCAAAGTAATTTAAGTTTGGGTGTTGCTTTGTTAGGTGACAATAATAAACCTCCACCCTTTACTGTTGGAATTTCTTCTTCCAAGGATAACTAAAAGGATATTCTGAGCAAAAAAGAACTTGCCCATTCATCAGTAATGAAGATTTTTAAAGTGGCAAGAGGGAAAAAATATAATGTCAATACATTCATATAGTCCTGTAAACACGTTTAAAAACTATTTTCCACAATAGATAGTATTAATATATGCTAGAAATAGTCCATATATTATCTATTCCTGGATAATGACACTTTGCATTGTACATTCATACATATTTGAATAAATCGCTATCAGAGTAAAAGTGTGTTAACAGAATATTATGACCAAGGAACAGATACTGTTTATAATAATTCACAGGGGAACAAATTTAACATAAGTAAAAGCAGAAGGTAATTAACAAGTGGGCATGTTGCCACCTACCATGTTATCTTTCGTAGCAGGAACATGTTGTTGGAGGTCCCTGATTGAACCCATCAAGAATGGTATACGCTCATCCAAAACCTGAATAATAAAATGGTAATCATGAGAGGCAGAAGAAACATGCATATTACCCTATGTTGTCCATAGGCTGGTACAGAAGCAAATTTTTAGCTTTCTTCTAAGTTTGACATACTTGTGAGCAGATCTCCAGTGGACACCTCCTCCTTTCTTGTAATTGGCACCTTCAAGCAATTTAAGGATGGAGTCCTCTTCGTTACCCACTGCTACGAATAGCCATATTGACTTATCCAGTGTGTTCAATATTGGTCAGACTAGTTACAATGTTGTCCTGTCTAAAGCCCTCAAAAGAATTAGCTGAACTCAAATGGGAATAAAAGCCACAGCAGAAGACAGCCCCATTCAAAGAAAATCCACCAAGTCCTAAAGCACAGCAAATCAACTAGAACAAACTGTATCTTTCACAATAGCTATGTCAATTTCAAAAATATCTATGGTATGCATATTGTACACTGACACACAAAGAAACAAGACAAAAGTTATTGGTTTTTGCATTGGAATTGCAGTTCTCATCTATAAACAGCAGGGCAACAACAAAATGCAGAAAAAGAACTTTGCCAATTCCTGTCACAATATTTGTAAGAAATGAAACAGATTCACAGTGACTTTATAGAACAACCGAAAAATGTGAAGGTTATGTGTCAGCCCATTTCAGGAAATAAGCATTGGAAGAACATCTATCCAAATGTCATCGAATCAATCTTCAGAAATGCCATCATCCAGATTGACTATTCTGTGTTCAGTTCAAAATTCAAACAAATATCACCTGAAGAAGGCTGGAGCATGAAATGGCCGAAATGTTGTGAATGTGACAAAGATGAGTACAACAGTCTGAACAATGTAAATAGATTCTGTTTTCTGGATAAAAATATTTCATGTTTAATTGGATATGCTAATTCTGAATCTATATGCAGGATTGCCCTAGCACATCAGGTTTTTGTGATATACCCCAAGTATACTTATATTCAAAGTAAAAATAACTAATTCATAGTATATTAATATCCATTTGAGTTGGCGTTATCAGATTTGTTGTACAGAACTAACTTGGGTCTTATAAATCATTTAAGTTTTCCTTATTTATATGTGAACTATTGTCTTAATCTTGTTATGACAACATTTCAACCATTGTGCCCTCTGTTAATGCTCTCCGTGTTTTCACACTACCAGCCCAGGGATTGAACTCACAATTACTGTCACCAAATTCAAGACCCATGACTTTAATCCACCAAACTATTGTCCCATAGTTTGATCAGTTCCAGGAGAGTAAAATGGGTAGTGGAAAGAAAAGGACATGTCTTCATGAAGGAAAGACTGGAACATAAACTCTCAGAACAAACCCAGATATTACTTAGTGAAATAATGCTTGAATCAGATAAATACAGAATCCAACAAGACCCGTTAAGTCATACAATTAAGAATTTCAAAGATTTAAGGCTCGCTAAACATGGAAACTAGTACAGATGAAAGAACAATTTGGTAAGAGCTAGTGTCAATATCAGTAATTGGAAGAAGAATGTCTCTGAAGAATCTATGCTAAACAATCATCTCAACTTTGCCACCACCACCAGGCAGAACTAATACCTGAATATTTGATAGTTCCTGTGGAGGAGGTTGTACTGAAGATTCCAAAGGCCTAATCAGATGAGCTAACATGAAAAGTGAGACAAGCACTAGAACAGGTCAAGTCACCTAAATCAATCACAAAGAAAAAATGTTTGGCAATCAAGACTTTACAGAGTGACACTAGTATCATTATACTGTCAGCTGTCAAATTTAACGCTATGGTGGTGGAGGATAAATTGGAATACTTAAAAAAAGAGGAAACAAAAAAAACAAGAGGAAAAAAAGAAAAAAGAGGAAAAAAAGAAAAAAGAGGAAAAAAGGAAAAAAAAAAAAAGAAAAAAAAGAAAAAAAAAAAAAAAAGAGGAAAAAAAAAAAGAGAAAAAAAAAAAAAAAAAAAAAGAAAAAAGAGGAAAAAAAGAAAAAAGAGGAAAAAAAGAAAAAAGAGGAAAAAAAGAAAAAAGAGGAAAAAAAGAAAAAAGAGGAAAAAAAGAAAAAAGAGGAAAAAAAGAAAAAAGAGGAAAAAAAGAAAAAAGAGGAAAAAAAATTTAAAAAAATAAAAAAAAAAAAAAAAGGAACAAAAAAAAAAAGGAAAAAAGAAAAAAGTTAAAAAAAATGAAAAAATGCTAGAAATAGTCCATATATTATTTACAGGGGGACAAATGACACTTTGCATTGTAAATTCAGAATATTTGAATAAGGGGCTATCAGAGTAAAATGTTGTGTTAACAGAATATTATGACCAAGGAAAAGATAGAGTTTATAAAATTCAAAGAGAGACAAATTTAACATAAGTAAAAGCAAAAAAGAGAGAAAAGAAAAAAGAGAGAAAAGAGAAAAAAAGAGAGAGAAAAGAAAGAGAAAAAGAGAGAAAAAGAGAGAAAAGAAAAGAGAGAGAAAAGAAAAGAGAGAGAAAAGAAAAGAGAGAGAAAAGAAAAGAGAGAGAAAAGAAAAGAGAGAGAAAAGAAAAGAGAGAGAAAAAAAAAAGAGAGAGAGAAAAGAGAGAGAGAGAAAAAGAGAGAGAAAAGAGAGAGAGAGAAAAGAGAGAGAGAGAAAAGAGAGAGAGAGAAAAGAGAGAAGAGAAAAGAGAGAGAGAAAAAGAAAGAGAGAAAGAAGAAAGAGAGAAAGAAGAAAGAGAGAAAGAAGAAAGAGAGAAAGAAGAAAGAGAGAAAGAAGAAAGAGAGAAAGAAGAAAGAAGAAAGAGAGAAAGAAGAAAGAAAAAAGAGAAAGAAACAAAAGAAAAAGAGAAACAAAAGAAAAAGAAAAAAAAAAGAGAAAAAATAAAAAAAAAGAGAAAAAAGAAAGAGAAAAAAAAAAATAAGGCAGAAAAAGAGAAAAGGAGAATAGAGAAAAGAAAAAAAAAGGATCCAACCATAAAAACTGATAGGAGGCTGTCACAGATCCTAAATAAGAACAAAAATTACTTCATACTGAATAAGTATAGACAGCTGATTCAATGAGAAAAGAAAAGCTATCAACAATGAGATGGTCTCTCCAAGAGAACAAAAGTAGAAATTGAAACCAATAGTCAAAGAGAAAAGGGTTTAATCAAAGGCATCTCCTGGGCAGATTCTTTGTGGATATAGTCAACCCTCTAGCAGGGAAGTCCTTGTCATGGTAAGCTTAGATATGGTGAGCCTACAGGTGAGGCCCTGACTGCTTGAAACTGATTGAGATCAAACCCCTCTCTTGGAAAATATACTAACATTCTAATAGATAATCTGATGAAAATGTTGATGTTCTGTGTACTGACTACTAGTTCTAACTAGAGTCTGGCATATGCCAACAGGAGGAAGGCTAGATTATGAGTTCACAATTGTCACTAGTGATGGAATACTTTGAGGAAATGGCATTAAGAAAATCACTACTGAAACCAACAGTATGACTGAGATACATAGATGACACCTTCATACTATGACCTTATCACAAAGATGTACAAATATTGATAGACCTTGTGAACTCAGTAAGATCATTTATCCAGTTCACAATAGAAGAAAATAATAATCAGGTAGCTTTCCTGGATGTACTAATAACTCTCACAGAGAATGAGTTCAAGACATCTGTATATCATAAGCCAACAATCACTGGACTTTAATTGCCACCAGCTATACAGTGTGAAGAAAGGGATTGTTTGATGGCAACAACATTGGGCAAAAATCTTATGTAGTAACCCAGACACATGCCAACAGGAAATGATCAACATCAAGTGTACCCTTCAGAATAACAACTACTCTGCAAACATCTGCAGGTTGAAATTGGCAATTTTCTAGTTTTCCTCCTTGACCTAAGGGCTTATGGGAAAAGATTCAGAAGATCTGCAGTCCATAAAACATCAGGACAATATTCAGAAGCAGCCCCACTCTAGGAAGAAATTTATGTCAAGTCAAGCCTACCAAGGGGGAGAACATGACCAAGAACTGTGTGTACGCCATTCCTTGCAGTTATGGCAAAGAATATAAAGGTGAAACAATCCAGTCCTGGAGGAACATCAAAAAGGCATAGAGAAAAATAATGAAATCAGGTATAACTGATCATGTATGGAGGGAAAGGGGTAGTCATCAGCCCCTGTGGAATGAAGTGAAAATACTGGACAAGTAAGAACATTGGAGAGTTAATTTTTAAAAGAATCAGCACATATGCTAGGCTATGAGGATTTCCTTTAGATTCCTAGCACAGAAATATATAGGATATAATAAAGAAAGACAAATAACAGCAACAGCAGTAACAAAAGAAGCTTCAGTGAGTGCAGTCAAACAGCAGCACTCATGAGTAGGCAGGTTAGGTTTAAAGCTCAAACTTTTCTACACAGAATTGTCCTATGGGAAAATAGTATAGTAATTGCTCAGGAGCTGGGAAGTGTACTTGGATTCAGTAGAAATTGGTCAGGCAATAACTGAGTACTAAAATAAATCATGAGCAGTGGAACAAGAACAATCTAGCCCTGTTGATTAAAATACAGGGTTCAGTAGCACTACATTTGATGAAGGCTGGAGAGCACAACAGCCAAAATAGTGTGATAGCAAAACAACAAAGATGAGGACACTTTCTTTGCATCAATATGTGTAATAAAATCGGTACAGGTTATTACAGGGGGTCTTACTCAGGAGAGATATCTGCGAAGGGACAATTTTATTACACTTTAGTGCATATTTACAAATGATCATTAACTTTGGTAGCATTTCAAAAATGTCAAACTGCCTTACCAAGTACATTATTTTGTTAAGGCAGTGGAGAACTTTCCGAGGGAAATTAACAGGAGATAACTGATAACTGACATCCATCAACACATGGAACTAGAACAGTCTACCCAGGTGAGCGAAATAAAGGGTTCAGTTCGACATTCCAACCACTTGAAGAAGGCTGGAGCGTACAATGGCTGAAATGTTGTGATAAATATGGCGACAAAGATGAGGACAATAGTCCGAATAATGTAAATAATGTACATAATACCTCATCTCAGAAATATAGACAGACTCTGCCTTACCAAATGTTTTAAATGGAACCACATTATATTATTCTACATGTGTATAGAGTAGACTTTAGCACCAATGAATGAATTTTTGTCATTAGAATAGATAAATAATCTTAATTTTGTGATTACATAAATTATGAGGGAAAAAGTTTGAACAGAACTTACATCTTGCAATGCTTCCTGGCAGAGAGCATGGAACGACAGGATTAGCACACCGACGATTGTCATACGATCAGAACATTGTCAACATCTAATAAAGAGAAAATGTAATTAATTTTCAAGTATATTAGACAATCTAAGTAACTTAATCTAATATATTTCAGTTTCAAGATGAAAAGTATTCTCTGGGAAAAATAAACAGCAAAAAGAGAATAGGTCAAGATGGGTAATATATTTTTATAGAATTAAAATCCGAGAGAAAAATGAATAATTTTCAATAGAGTAAAGTGCAGATGATAGGTGAAATGTTAATGAATTGCTGAAGAATAAGGTATTTTATAAGTTATTCACACTATGTAGGTCTTACATAATGATTCTGTCTATAAACAAAATTACAAATTGAATTCTAGTCTAATTTTCATACAGCAAAGCATTCAATTTGATAACAGTCTGAGGCTGATCAATACTATAGGAAATAAATATTAAATAATCAGACAATCATTAGAATAATGCTAATATTTTGGGGAACTTTCATGACATTAAGAGTTGCTATTTGCTGTATTGAGAATTTTCTTCCATTCTTAATATTAAATTTACTCATTACAGTTATTTCCTTTTTACTGAAAAGCCTAAGAATGTTAACAAATTATAAAAATGGGTTATTTTGCAATGTAGTAACATTTCAGTATTGACTAGTTCTTGTATTTATAGCTTCATTGTGTAAAAAGTGGTGAGAATAATTATAAAACAATCCCATAAATATAACTTGTAAATTTCAAATATTGGTCAGAGAGAGTGTAATCCATTTCATTACACATGAAAAGATGGATGGTGAATTTAATTTTATAATCACTTTTTAGCTTAGTGTTCTGTTTCCTTGTGAAAAGGAAACTTTTTAAAAATAACATTCGTAGATGGACATATAAGATATGAATTTTTTTTAAAAGTTAAATATAAAATAGCAATTAATAATTACGAGGATACTCCACATATTCTTAATGAGATTACAATCTGGTGAGTTTGCAGATCAGTTCATTACAGAGATGCATTCAAATCATTCTTTGGTGACCATAACATTTGGAATGGCTGTATTAAAATGTAAGAATAAAAAAAAAATCTCTACAAATGGACAAAACTTCTATGTAACACAGCATCAAAATCAGTAACAATCTTCTTTCTGGACTAAAATACAAAGTTTAATTCAGAACTTGGTAAACACTTCTTTTGAGCATTGTTGAAGATGACAACAATCTGAAGTCAACTTGGTTGGACTTTTTGATCATTTCTTAGTGCCATACATTTCTGACTATTTAAAAAAAAAATTACTAAATAGTGGTAGTAGATTTCGATTTTTGTGCAATAATACTAATATTGTTGTTCTCTCTTATCTTTTCTTTGGTGAAATTTGGTATATGCTATGTTTAAAAATGACAACAAATGAAGATACATTATGAAAAATTTTAAGAAACCTCTGGAAAAGATAATTTTTTTTTTTTTTGTAATATATCTTACACTCATTCCCAACCTTGATGATGGTGATTTTTCAAAATGTGCATATATAAAAAGCTAAAAATTGTAAAATCAAATTTCCTTCCACACACGCACACATTCTTTGAACGATATTTGAAATTTAACAGCTATATTTGTGGGCTGTCATAATTATCTCCAACCCAGCAGACATATTAGAAACTATTAAGCACACACAATTTTATAAACAATAATTTAAATAATGTAAGATACAATAATTCTTGCAAAGGGTGAAGCAAGATTTTTCAAGTCACAATTCTAATTTTGTAAAAGAAAAAAATTTCTATGCATTTTTGGCATTTTTTAAGGAAAAAAAAGAGTTATAGTAGATACATAAATCATTATTTTGGAAAAGGAAAAGTGTTATCATGAGGAAGCTTGTAATACCAGAGTAGTATAAGCCAGAAAAGTTATATAAACAACACAGGTTAGTTACAACATCAAAAAAATGTTAAATGCAACACAAAATAAATTTATGTGCAACAAGTACAAAAAAGGAAACTAAGGAGAAAGAGAAAGTCCAAACAGTACAATAAAGGAGACATGAACATATGTAGAGCAACTAATAAAAAAGAAAAAGCAGAGAAAATGAGGTGACATGCTTGGAATTTATGCTCTTATGAGCATAAATAGAAGGATTGAAAGAAGGTTATAGAAAAGAATAGCAGTCTAATTGCTGGAAAGAAAGAGTTGGCAAAAATCTAAATTACCAATTCTTACCTTTAAGTATCTGGAGACTATATAGCATACAAACATCACCATTAAAAATATTTATTCAAAGTATCCATAGTTATAAATAATTTTATGTATAATAATAATTTTAGTTGGCAAGTGTATTTTGGTAATGCTAACAATAAAAACACTAAAAAATGAGACATCACTCCAATAACTTAAGCATAAAGTATTTTTTTCCTTTTTCTTATTTTCATAAAGAAAATCAATTATATAAACAAATAGCAAATAAATCTGTTGGAGTCAAAATCAATGTGGTAAATGCATGCAAATTTTGTATTATTTAATCTTTGTCTGATGTAATGTTTATAAAATTAATTTTTAAAAAAAAAAAAAAAAAAAAATGTAAAACCTTTTTTGTATTAATGAGCTATTTTGAAAAGTTGAGGTGTTAAGATATCTGGTCTTGATGGTGGCTAAAGTATATAACATTAAAACATTTTATATATATATATATATATAATATTTATATGTTAAAACTTTTCTACATTACCAGAATTTCCATTACATGCAAACTTTTTAAGATATGTTTAAATATATGTACATATCAAAAAAGTTTAATTTATTATAACTTTTTTTTATTTATAGCATGAGAACAAGGCAGAGGCTGAACGGTTATACTTTACATAAATACAATGCAATTACAAAATATGCCATTATTTTTAACAGCAGAGCTAAACTAATTATAATAACTGTATCTACACAAAATTATAAAAAAAAATAAAAAAGTGGGTGGAAAATAAACCATGTCAGTAATATTTATTTTCTATATTACTCATCAATTGTAGAAACATGCATCTTTTGCTAAAGGTTACTTATAAAATATATTATATCTGATTTATTATGTTAGGTTTTTAAAAGTGAAAAGGAAAAAATTGAGATGTACTATTTATTAGTTATTCAATGAAAACACCAGTTTACCCTCTTTATACAACAATTTTTTTTGAGGGGTTAATAAAATGCCATGTCACTCAGAGAATTGGATTTTGTAAGTTATGTAAAATGTTCCAACAATGAAAATCATTTAGATGAATATTTGAGATGAGAAAAAAAATCCCCAAAAAAACACACAAACAAAACCAAACAAAAAAAAAAAAAAAAAAAAAATCAGTATCTCTTTGTATTGATCCAAATTTTTTGTTTTCCCTATGAATAAAAAGATTATCAACTGAAATGTGGTCATTCATAAACATAAGACATGAGAGTCTGAAAAAAATGGGCCATTTTGATGGGTTTGGTAGAGCTATTATATGTCATTGTGCATTAAGAAGCAAGTTTACAATGGCCAGCATCTCACCTGCTCAAATTATCATGCTTGTTGTTATTAGCCTTACATACTGCCTTTAAATCTTCCAAGGAGCGAGTCAGAGATGATGTCCAGCACTACTTGATACAAGAAGAATAGGACTTTAAGTGTAATCCCTATCATGCTAGATAACACTGCCAACAACAATGATAATTTCTTTAAAAAAAAAAAAAAAAAGTTTTAATCAGGTTAGAGTACAAAAAATAAATTGAGGGGGCATAAACAAAAGCAAATATATTATATATATATATATATATATATATATATAAGGCATAGGGATGGGTGGGAGAGATTCTGGCATTTGATTGGTCAGTCAGTGTCCACCTATGAGTGCAAGGAAGGAAATTCAAGCACAATACTTATTGGGGAAGAGAGAGAAAAAAAATGGAAAATACAACACAAGAACTGTAAACCATACAGAAATAGAACAAGTGCTGACAGAGGAGACACTAAAATAAAAAGTCTACAGACAAAAAAAAAAAAAAAAAAAAAAAAATACAGATAATTGAGCTTACGTGCTGACATTCTGGGTTCTGACAAGGGGAAAAATAAAAATACAAGTAAATATGAATGAAAACAAAAAAAAAAAAAAAATTTTTTAATGTTGAACATCCCCATTACCAACAAAAATGTAATAAGGGGGAATTTCAATGCAATTTTATAAATGTTAGTAGAAAGTTTAGTTACTGGTTTTCAAATCCTGACTTTGGCAAAATTTAAAAAAAATCTTAAATTTTCAGTATAAGTTTAAAGCAAAGAGAGCAAGTGAGACGTAAGACCAAAAGTCTTTTTTTTTTTGTAAAAAGAAAAATAAAGTACACAATTTTAATATATTTGTCAGAAGTTTGATGGCATTTTTGTGCTTGAATTTGATATAAGGATCTATATTTACTATATTATAACCATAATACAAATTTAGAATCAATTATTTAGTAATTACAGTAAAGACAACACTGATGAACAGAGTTCAGTTTATTCTGATTATTTTATAAAAAATAAAAACCATAATGATAAAATCATGTAAAGTGAATTTAGTTATAAAATCTACACCACGATTATTTTATGTTATCTTTATTTAGATTTAAAAAAAAAGAATAATAAAAGAAACTATTGAAAAATTTACTTAGATACAATTTTACAAATTGATTTCATATCAAATACCTTGCAAACTACAATTTAAAGTATTTCTATTTTAGACAAAAATAGCCAAACTTAAAGCTCTAATCTTGTATTATATATTTTTAATCCTAAGGAGTCTCCGAAAATATTACTCTATATTTTAACATGGCTACATAAAAGTACCATAATAAAGAAAAAAGCTTGAAATCTTATTTTATAACAAAAACTGTACAGAAACCAACATGTATACACACGTTAAATACATTAAAAAAAATCCAGAAGCCACTTTCGACAGTTTATAACTGAAGATGCAGGTTTCAGAATACTTAAATATCTATAAATGTAATGTTATATAGGTAGTCTTGAAGTAAAAGAAATATAGTAGTGGTTGAATCAATAATTATTAGATCAGACCAGCCTAAACATTGGGAAAAAATTGCATTCTCAGAAATGAAATAGTTAAAACTTACACAGAAGTGCATATTTGACTGTTCATACAAGTTTCATTTCAACAGATAAATACATTGCAACTTTTTACTATGGTTCATAGCACAACAACAATGAAATCTTTTTTTTTTCAGTAGTACATCAATAAAAACTCATTTACACCATGTAAAAACAGCCAACAGTGCAATTTGACAGCAGAGCAAAAACAGATCAAAAGTATACCATTCTGAACTTACCATAAAAAGTATCCATTGGCAGTACTTGTCTGAAACTTTGAACCTTTACTAAATTTGGGATGTAAAATTCAATAAAACTGTTCTTTTCTCTGTAATATGAATACCTTTTCTCATATGTGTATCTAATTTTGGAAAATCTTATGAAATTATGCAATTTTTAACTTAAGTAATGACTGACACTTAGAAATTTGTTTCCTAAAATTAATCATTGGTCAATCCTTTAAACTCATTTATCTTCAAACTAAAAAAACTGAAATGAATAAAAAATACATTTATTGGAAAGGATAAAAAAAAAGTCTTTCTGGATGGTTGGAATGATCCTCCTGTATTTTCTCTGGTGATTTGCAGTCTGAATTTGTTTATAAGCCTCTGCTCTAGAAAATATTCCTGGGACAATCCATATCCTATCATGTCTTAAAAAGTGGTATTATACCAAAATCCCATCTAAAGACAAATATTGTTGCCACTTGTGCAATATCATCCAACAAAGGCCATCAAAAATAGTCATTTCTGCTTTTGGTTGGAACTAAAATTTTGATTATAGCACTGGACAGAGATGTAATATCAAAGTTTGAGTAATAGTATGCCATTGGTTTTGGTGTTTGGAACTGAAGGTCATTTGAAATGGTTCTTCATCACAAATGCTAGAATTGTTTGAATACACAGATTCATTGAGTGCTTTTTCTTTCTTCCTTTAGAGGTAGAGATGAAGTTCCATCACTGCAATTCTATTCCCTTTATCGCACAGTTTTTAACTTTATCAGCATATATTCTTCAGCCTGCTTCCCTCCCCATTTAGAAAACTACTCAGAGCATTGAGCTCTTCATTCACTGAAGAGAAAATTATATGTAAATTTGATTAATCACCTGAATTTAGGGTCACTGGTATGGAAGTACTAATACATAAAAGGAAAAAAAAATGGGGGGCTTAAAAAAATTAAAAAACAAAACAAACGTGTTTGCAAAATTTGAACTAGAGAAAAAAAATTAAATTTTTTTACATTTTTTTCAAAAATAAAATGTAACAAAAGATAAATGAGATAAATAGTTGAAATGGTAAACAAATAATCATGAAAAGAAAAAAAGGAAACTGATTACATTTTGAAAATTACCTCATATTTCAATTTTTTATGGACCCATGCCTCAAAATTAAGTTTAACCATATCCACAGTTTATATATTTATAATATGAATTCTGATTCATGTATTTTTTAAGAAAATACACAAAAGCAACTACCATTTAATAAAATATGATAAGTACTTTATATTTTGAATATGCACCATTAACAAAAATATGAGGAAAAGATTTAAACTGCATAATATCCATCAATGAAACAAGTAGGATTTAAAATCTTGTTCAGCTGGCAATGTTCATTCATTTGGACAGCAATATAAATTTTGATGCATTGGACCCCCAACGTTTTTGCATAAAATGAACAATATATCCCTTTCATTTGTTTGGTTCAGTTGAATGATACTGATTGAAAGGTCAGACATTGTATTCAGCACTTTACAATCAAGGGTGGGTTTGCTTATTTTTAAATGGAAACACACACACACACACTTAAATTTTCATATATATATAAATACAACTTCAAGCCCACCAAATTGACAAATGTCTTTTAGGAGAAAGAAGACACTATTTTGAAAATATAAAGGAGACAACTTTATTTGAAATGTTAATTTTAAAATTACCACTATGAAATTGTCAATTTCAAAAATGCAGAAAAAGCACAGAGGTTCATTGAAATAGTAACACAAAGAAATGTGGAATAAAAACTAATCCTTATACATGAAAAAGAAATGTATCTTGTGAAAGTGAAAAGATTAAATTTTATTTACATACTAATGTATCAAAATAGGCTCGAAAACAAACAAGATAACAGCAGTTGAAATGGAATTTATCACTATTTTAAACACTTTTTTAGTAAACTAGTGAATACAGGCAACCTATTAAAGAATTATTTGAAACGTTTTGAAACACATTTAGAAAAGTAAAAAAATTTTCTGAAATAGAACATGAAAATCAAATTCCTTAGTATTTAATAAAAAAAAATAGGAAATTATTCAAATAAAAATGATTCAACTTTAAATCAGACATATTTTGTAAAACATCTTACTAATAGAAATAATTTTTTGTTAAATATAGATTAGAAATAAAGAAAGAAAAGAGTTTGTAAACTGAAAAAATAGAAATTTCCAGAAAAAATATCTGTTGTTTAAACATAACTTATGTTTCTACTTTTTTACCAAAAAAATTTATATGGAATAAATAAAAAAATTATAAATGTTCATAAAACAAAAAAAAAAACTAAGACAATTATTTACCATATTGGAGTAAGCTAAAATGATTTTCATCTCAGAGAAAATGAAAATCAGTCATTTTTTAGACTTGAAATAGATCATTGAAATAGATTATTATCATAAAGCAGTTGAAGAGAACCAATCAAAACAAAATAACAATATTCAACCAAAAAGTTTTTTTTTAGATTGTATAATTGATCAGAAAATCTGTTTTCAAACAGCAGAAGTTCTATTAAAATAAAATGTCAAAAAATTTTATTTATTGAATAAGTAGCAACTTCTACCTAATTTAGAGAAATTGGAATTCAACACTTGAAATGCATAAGAAAAAAACCAAAAAAAATTTATTTAGTTCCATTGTTAGTAAAAGACACAATGGATTTTTTTTTCATTAATAATTACTTATATGAAAACAGCAAAACTTTTACAGAAAGATATGGAGTTTCATTATTTTTTTCATTTAGAAGCAAACACATTATGCAAATGATTCTTGCCCAAGTCAATATGCTGATAATTCTAATGGAAAAATGTTATGATATAAAAGATTAAAATTAAAAATAAAAAACAAATACATTTTATAACAAAAAAAAAATATTTTTTTTTTGTATCCCTTCACTTAATTGTAATTATGTTTATGATGTAAAAAAAACTAATGAATATTTTTACAAATGAGAGAGACAGAGAGAGTTTATAATAAAAAAAACAAAAACAAATTTAATCACAACAAAGGAAATCATGAACCCCCAAAAGTTCCTTAAAAAATAAATAAAATTTTAAACATGTTTTTTTTCTGAATATCTCGATAAATCATTAATGAAAATTTCAAATTATATTTGTTCAGAACTGTAGAATCACTTATGAATAATTATAAAAGGTTTTTTTTTTTTTCAACAATTTATTTATAATTAACCAAAGAAAATATATATCTAGTGTTCCTCAATTGTTTTTAAAAGCAAACCAAAGAGAAAAATCTAAAAACATGTTCACAAAAAATAAATAAAAAAAAAAAAAAAAACTATTGTTCATTCAATGAAAAATCTGAACAATCCAAAAATTGTCAATTTATATTATTTGATCTGAATTCAAACAAAAATAATATCACATTTTGAAGAAGTAAAATAATAATGGAAACAAATCTAAAAAGTTCTAATTCTGAAGATTAAAAACAGTCTACAAACATAAAAAATCTTTGTCCCAAAAAGAAATAGCTCTACTTTAAAAAGTAATTAGAAAACTTCTCAACAAGACAATATGGGAAAAAAATAAATAAGGTGAGAAAAAAAAAAAAAAAAATTAAGGCAAAAGTATTGGATCTAAATTAGAACACATCTGAATCAAGTGTTAAATCAAAATTATAAATTATGATTGATGGGCAAAGAGACTGTTAATGGACAGTTTTTTTTTTTTTTATTTATCTTCTGTTAAGCTGTGTGGTTTTTTCTGAAATTTATTTTTTTTTTGTGTGTCAAAATTTTCTTTTATCTGTTTAAACACATAATTTTGTTGTAAGAAGAAAATGCATGGAATACAAAGTAAATAAAAGAAAAATAAATGACATTATTGAAAACAAAAGATTTGGGTGACAAGATGAAATGTGACAATATCAATAGTTATTATTGGTGGATGACCCTCTTCTGCAATCACTGCTTTTGGTTTAATGCATCAATAAAAAAATTCAAAAAGGTCCATAAAAGTTTAGACAAAAATTTTTTCTTCATACTAGGAGTAATATTCTGTAAAAAAAAACATTCTTCCATCAAATGCATCAGATCAGTCAATTTAGTATGCTTTTTAAAAAATTTTTAAACTTTATTGAATCAAGAACAAGGTCTTTAATGTTCTGATTTTTTTTCTTTTGATGAGAATTCATTGAACTGAGTTTATGTAATTAATATTTTTCTTATTAGAAATTCCATCTTATAAAAGACGGATTAAAAGTTCAAAATAATTAAAATTAAAAAGACAAAAAATATTAAAAGAATAAAAAGTTTTAAATTTTCATAATAAATTAACCTATTTCTTTTAAGGCACTGTTCTAAAGTAGCAACTCACGGTTTTAGAAGAAAATATGTGAGGGGGGAGTATCCTGAATAAAAAAATTACAAGCCCAACCAATTCATGCTTACTTATTCTGTATTTAGCTATTTATCATCAACTTTCTGGTATATTTTAAAGAGCACAAATTAGGAAGGTAGGCAGAAGGTAGGAATATAAGAAATAAACATTAAAAAAATATTCATTTAAGATAAAAGGGTAGAAATTTCTAAAACAAAAAAAAGAGAAAAATAAATTTACAAACTGGTACTAACTTTGTAGCTTGCGGAACAATTCCCTCATGGTGTCCGGCTTGTCAAAGCTTGTACGCAAGAGTTGCAGAGTATCTTTATTAGCAATCACCAGTTTCTGTGTAAGGCAAAAACAGAATGAAGATGATACTTTTCCATCATGTGTCCTTTTGAAGGAAAAACTAAAGAGCATACAAATTAATAAACATAGATTAATAGATTTAAGAAGAAATTTTACTCTACATAAGCTTTTATTATCATTTTTAATAAAAGAAAAAAAAAAATGAATGATGACATTTGTCAAAATTTTTTAATGTGATACCCAATTACAATGAAGATGATAATTAGGAAAATATTTCTTTTATTTTTCACATTTAGAGTTTTAAATAATTTACTTGGTAAACAGGACATGAATGTCTAAATCCAGTATCTTGTAAACTCAAGTTCAAGTATAGTCACTATTACATCTAATTGACACAGACATTAGAAAATAACTATTTAATCTGAATATATTAAAATCAAAACATATTTTAATCACTATTTGGACTTAAATCCATACATATCTAAATAGTGATACTGACACAAGATAATTGCTACAAATTTACAATAATTTCATCAGACCTTAAGTTCATCAACTTGATTGGCCACATGAATCATCAGACGTTCAGACATGTACTTCATTCCATAGGGACCAATTAGTTCTGCAAGTGCTTTTAACTCTGGAAAAACAAAAATATGCTCAAAAGAAATAGGTTCAGTATAACCAAAGATTAAGTTGTTTTAAGATCTACTTAGATTACTTTTAGTAGTAGACACACATGTATACGCACACAGAGCACTGAGCAAATTCATAAAGAATATCTGTAGTCATCATATTTATGGTAACACTAAAAAAACTGATACTCTTCAATGCATAACAGGACATGAAAGTTCATTTATGATGATTTATAGTACTGACTTATGAAAATTCCAGTTTTTACTGATTTAGACATTTATATATATTATATATTCCTGAATATATTAAGAGAATGAGTATACACATTGATATTAACTAAGAACATAACAGACGATGTTGACAGGCATCATTCATTGATGGACAGCTCTGCTAACCTTGTCCTCTAAATTTTCCCTAATATCTCCAAACACTGAGAACTCCTTGAAAGATAAGAGCCACACTGATAAGAAACTTGAGGGGGAAACAGATTAATAGTTTGTAACTATTCATTATAACAAGCTAACATTGAAAGAAGTACTATAATACAATCAGGAAATGGTAGTGGTGAATGAGCATCAACCAACCCTTCATTTTGACAAATGTAACTATCAATGAACAAAAGTCATACTGAATCCAGTATTATTGGCGTAACAAGATGATAATACTACTCAGAACATGTTTTACGCTGAGAGAAAATTAAGCTTGTTGCTCAAGTAATTAATTCAGAATTAGTATATTTTGCCCATTTGAGGCAATCCCCTACACATGCACACAGACAATGCAGTTTAAGGAGGTGTGATGAATAGCCTGAGAATTCATAGATAAAAAAGTATTTGATAAAAAGAGTGAGAAAGCTCAAACCAAGGATCAGAGACAGGGTGATACATCCTCCATTGACTAAAAATACAATTGAAATAAAAATCTGATAATTCTGAAATTGTGAATATTAGCATTTCTCAGGATAAGGGGTAATTAATGACCTGGTGTAGCACTTCCATCAAATCCAGGAGCCAAGATTTGAAAAGTTAGTGAAAATGTTGAGTAGTAGAATTTCTTTGAGATTGTAACCTGTAATTGCCTGCCTAATTTTCAACTAATAAAAGCCAGACACCCCAAAGTTCTGAAATTAAACTGCAAATTTTTGAATTTCTCAAGAAAGACAAGGATTAATAAATGAGCTAAAAAGTCAATTTATCAAAGTTGGAGGTCCAGTGTTAAAGATAGGCAATAGAGGATTGGAATTCTTCCGATTCCATAACAAATTACATGTATTCTGACTGTTTCTATAATTATAACTTACACAAATAAGCAGTTAATGCTACATTAATGTGGGGAATAGTTGGTCAAAAATGGCTCATAACATCCGATCTGCTAGGAACAAAAGTACAGTTCTGTTCCAGAAACATCCTTAGTATTATGTGATAGAGAATCAAATTTCCAAATCATCACATTCAATTTTATCTTCTGAAGGTCACAAGGAAGAAGGAAAAGAAAAAGAACATAAGTGTTTAAATGTACCCATTTCTGTTGCTTTGACCAACAGATTGTTGCTCAAACTAATTTTAACACAATGTGGAGTCAAGGGAACAAGCCAATTGCTCATTCTTACACAGTAATTATTAACCACATAGGGCAATTAGAGATTAGCTGACAGATGGTGAACATGTTATACTGAGTAATAAGAGACCCTTGTCTCTCGCTACTGTCCAAAATTTCCCCTTGCTAAACAGTATACCGCTATAGCAGAAGCATAGTAGATATACATGTTCAAATGTTGCTTTTTGTCTGAATTTCTGAGATGAGGAGTTATCATTATTTATACTATTTACAGGGTCTTGATCTTTGTTGTTGTTATCACAACATTTTATTGAAAACATGGCAAGCAGTAACTGAAATGGGTAATAGAACAACTTATTGAAAACATGGCAAGCAATAACTGAGCAGTATTAAAAATAAGAACTAGATAAGATATCCATAGAAATGGGTAATAGAACAAGAACTGTCTACCACACTACCTGGTCCAGGGATTATACTCATAATTACTATGTCACCAAATTCATGTACCACCACTTTAATCCACTAGGTTATTGTCCTGTGGAGTCTTAAACCTAACTTAATTAGATTTAAAGCTCCAAGATAAAAAAAAGTTAAGATGTCTTTATCAATTTAAAGATAGATTTAAAAAAAAAAAATGAAAAAAAAGTTAAAATAATAATAACAAAAAAAAAAAAAAAAAAAAAAAAAAATGCAGATAATGATGCAAACAATTTCAAAGTTGACATTTGTAAATAGCAAACTAAGTACACAGAACTCTGTAAAAAAATCAGAGATCAATTTTGCACTATATTTATATTATGAACGAAACCATCCTCCTTATAAATTAGGGAAAAAAAAAGAGAAAAAATATTTTTCAATTCTGACAGATGTCACATGGCTTAAGGAAGGTCTAATGAATGCTAATCTATAAAAATTATTCCCTCCCCAAAATATATCCTTATTTTTCCAAGTGGACCAGTCTATTGAAACAAATAGAGTAAGTGAAGAAAAGTTTAAAAACTCATTGTGTGTACAGAAAACTGATATTGTAAACACTGACCTGTCAAATCTGCATATTCCTCAGCAATGAAAGGTACTTGGCCTTCAGTGGTTAAACTTACAAATGCCTTCTGGTTGGGTGAGTATACAATCTGACTTGCATTGCAAGTAACTTTCCACATAAGAACTTCCAGATACCTGACAAAATCAAAAGAATAGAAATAAAGAATCTATCAATATTTTATATTGTCAAAATAAAAAAAATAAAGTAGTAAAGACTATTGCAATATAATCCACCAAGTGTTTTTGTCTTTAATGTTTATAACTTATCTTCTTGTAGTCACTATGCCAGGTGATAGTGTATTTAATTTGAAACTTAATTCTATCAAGTCTTACAGGATATTTTTTTTCCCAACTATTACATTTCGCTGCTGCTAAATCTCATGCCATGAAGGTGTTGAGACCACAAGAGTCACCTTGTCTCTCTAGCTCACATGGTCTTGGCAGTGTTGGAACATCTTCCAGAACCAGATTAATCTGCTGGAGTTTTTGGTGGACAACGTCCTTCCAGTGGCTCTGTGGTCTGCTGTGAGGTCATTGTCAGTTTGCAGATGGTAGGTTTAACTGGTAGATGACTCTGGCAAGGGTGATTATCAAGGCATTGCAGGATGTGAACATGATGTTGAGCATTAGTTAAGATTGTTGGAAACTAAGCCCAAGTATATGAAAAACTTGCATCTGTGTCTCACCATTCCATGTCAACAAGCCACCAAAGCCAAGTGGTAAATGGTTAACTCAAATGAATTTTTTCATTGTTAAAAAAAGAAAAAAGAAAAAAATCTGTAACTTTTTTTCTACAAAAAAAAAAAAAAAAAAAAAAAAAAGAAAAAGAAAAGGAAAAAAGAAAAGGAGAAAGAAAAGAAAATAAAAAGAAAAAAAAGAAAATTGAAAGAAAAGAAAGAAAAGGAGAAAAAGAAAAAAAATTGTTGAAAAAAAAAAAAGAAAAAGAGAAAGAAAAAAGAAAGAAATTAAGAAAGAAAAAAAAAAAAAAGAAAAAATAAAAGGAAAAAAAAATAATAAAAATAGAAAGAAAAAGAAAGAAAGGAGAAAGAAAAAGGAGAAAGAAAATGAAAAAGGAATGAAAAAAAAGAAAAAAAAGAAGAATGGAATAAAAGAAAAAAAAGAAAAAAAAAAAAAAAAAAGAAAAAAAAAAGAAGAAAAAAAGAAAGAAAGAAAAAAAAAGGAGAAGAAAGAAAAAATAAAGAAAAAAAAAAGAAAGAAAAAAAAAAAAAAGGAAAGAAAGAAAAAGAAAAAAAAAAGAATAAAGAAAAAAAAAAAGAAAGAAAGAAAAATTTAAAAAAAAAATAATAATTGAAGTCAAAAGAAAAAGAAATTTATAAAAAAGTATTATTGAAAAGAGAAAAAAAAAAATGGAAAGAAAAAAAAAAAATGTAAAAAATGAAAAATCAAGAATGAGAAAACAAAATCAATGCTAGAAAAAAAATCATATAAATTAAATAAAAATTATATATTATAATTTATATCCCAAAATAAAAATCGGAAAATTTAGAAAAAAAAAAAAATTGAAAAGATAGAAAAATTAAAACAAAAAAACTATTAAAATTAATTATTAGAATTAAAAAATATTTTTAAATAGAAATAAATTTCTAATTTATTCTTTTAAAATTTCAAGCATATAATTTTATTTGTTATAAAAAGATTTAAAAAAATTTAAATATTATTTGGATAAGAAAAAAGACAAAGCAAATGTGAATAAAGGAAATATAGAAATCTGAAAAAATTTCAATTGTCCAATTTAAAATTTTAATGGATACTTTATATGTTTTTAAAAAACAAAAAAATATATACATGATAGAGACATGGCATTCTAAACAAATAAAACGTTTTTAATTGGACATTTTGAATTAAAAAATCTTTAAGAAAACTTTTAAAAATTACAAAGTTATGTAAAAATTCTGTTTAATGTAAATAATATATCTTTTTTAATCAGTTATCAACATATATATTTTTTTTTTTTTTTTTTATAACTTAATGATTTATGACGAAATAGCTATCAAATGTATTGACAAAAAAAAAAATAGAAAATTACATAATAATAGTTATAAAAGAATGAAAAATTTCCATAATTTAAGTTAATTAAAAAGTTTGATTAACACTGCAGTTTAATAAGAGAAATTTAGATTTAAAAATAAATTAAAAAAAAGATGGAAAGATTAATAAAAAGATTTTTGCCAATAAAGGAAGATCATTTGAAATAAAACCTCTTAAAGAAAGAAGAACCAATTTAATTTTGAAAAATTGCTAATACTAAAATATTAAATTAAAAATATCCAAATATTTCCTTGAAAATGCATTTTTATTGGAATTAATTCTTTTCAATTTTTTTATAATTTAAATATTTATAAAATAATATATTTTTCATTAAAAATTTTTTTAACTTGATTTTTTTTTAATATATTTTAAAAAGTACAGAGTTAATTCATTTCATTACTACAACATGGTCTAAATCATCAGTGTTTCAAAGAAAAGAAAAAAATTTTGAATTTTAATGATTTTTCTTTGAAGAAAGATAAAAAGTTACAACATGCATCATTATTCATAATGAAAAAAATTTCTACAAAAGAAAACAAAAATAATATAGTAATGATATAATAATCTATAAAAAATTTATGTTTTTAAATCTATTCATATTTGGTCAAATTTATATCATCTGAGATTTGTAGTTTAGACACTGATAATATAAAATTAAAAAATATGATTTTATAGTTTATATAATTAAATATTATAATTCATTCCAAGATTTTAGTATATTTTAAAAATTTAATAGTTAAATTATTTTAATTAAATAATGAAGTTCATTAGAAATATATAAAACAAAAATTCACCATGAAATTTTATTTATGAAAATAACAAAATCAAACAATATTGTTTTTACTAGGAAAACATTAATAAACTATTAATTTCATATTTACTATTCTTCATCTAAAAAATGAAGCAAACTTAAACATTAAGTGTTGGGAAAATTTTATCTAAAAAAATTTACCAAACTTTGTAATGAACAATTAGAATATAAAAAAAGGCAAACAAAATCTTCACCATAATTTGGAAAATTAATAATTTTATATATAAATTTTTTAAAATCTTTAACTAAAATTTTTTTAAAAAAGAGGGATAAAAAAAAGATTTGAGGGATTAAAAATCTAAATTTGGTATACATTTTAAAAAATTAACATTTTTATATTTTTATTTTTATTTATTAAATATATATATATAAATTGATTATATTTATAAATTATTTTAAAATTTTCATTTAGATAAACCAAATTAGAAAATTTAATGATGATTTTTAAAAAAAATTTTCAAAATCTTAAAGAAATATTTAAATATTTCAAAATTTTTTTCATGTTAAAATTTATTTAAATAAATTATTTCATTAATTCAATTATGCCCAATATGATATCTTTCATTGACATTTCAAATTATTTATAAAAATTTTTAAATTTTATAAAAATATGAAAAATTTGTCTTTGAAAAAGAAAAATTGTTTAATTTAATTATATTTTATGAATTTTTCTTTTTTTAATTTAAATATTTTTATTATATTAAAAGAATAAATTTTTACAATTTATATCGATAATCAAAGGAATATTAACATTCAATTTCCACAAAATAAATATTTAAAATGTCATTAATATCCTAAAAAAATTTTCAATAAAGAAATATTTTAATTTTCTTTTTTTTTTAAAGAGAATAAATATGTTTTTCAAAAAATGTAGAAATATCAAATTACAATTTCTTCATGAAAATTTTTTTTTTTATTTGAGAGTAAAATTTTTAAAAATTTGTTTTTTTCATATTCCATATTTTAATACTTAAAAAATAACTATAATAAAAATATATAAAAAGAAAAAACAAAGAAAAAAAAAAAAATTATTTTGAATTTAATTATATAAAAAAACGAAATTTTCATTTTCTATTTAAAAAATAATATCATTAATTTTTAATCCATTAGAAATTTTGATAATTCATCCATATTATAGATTTGAATCATATTTTTAATATTTGATAAGACAAAATCATTTTGGTTTTTTTTTATTTAAAATAGAAAGAATAAAAATATTTATGGAAATGGATATTCTAAATATTTTTATTGTTTTAATTATAATATAAATGCAAATCGAAACCATAAAAAAATAAAATAGTTTTAAAATATAACTTTATTTTGTTATGTTTGCATTTGTTCTTAAATTTTGTATATACAATTTATTCTTTAGTTTTGTAAAATATATAAACAAACATATAACACACAAAACCAAAGAATAAACAGATTATGAAAGTAAACGTTTTTCAATAGAAAAATTTATAATTTATTATTTATGGAATGTATTTTGTTTATATTTTTTTGATCTGTTTTAAAATTATACAAATTTGATTAAAAATTATTATTTTTCAGCTAATAAAAATATTAAACTTTGATTTCAGCCCATTAACCTTTTTTATGTTTGAAAATGACATTTGGTTATATATTTTCTTTTTGCTCAAATGAAATGTTTTCAAATATTTATTTTCACATGTTTATTTTGAAATTAAAATCTCATTTTTTGCTTTAAGAGTTTTACAAAAATTATTTAAGATTTCACATTCTATAAAAAAAAACACTATTTTTTTCAAAATTTTTTACTATTTTGAATGTTTTATATTTCTGATTTGAAAAAAAATTGAAAAAATAAAAAAAAAATCTCAATCTGAAATTTTATGATGAATGCTTCAAAAATGAAAAAAACGAAAATATGGCACCTTCAGAAAAAAAAAAATTATAAGAATTGCTTTTAAAAAATATGAGAAAAATTTCAAAAAAAAAAAAATATTAAACCAAAAAAAATTATTTATTTTTCAAATAGATATTTTTCAAAAAGAAAATTTAACTTAAAGGTCTATATTAATAGAATATCAGAAGGATTATGAAAATTAGAAAAAATTCAATGGAAGGAAAGACAGATAAAATATAAATGTTATCATTTATTTACTGAACCAAAACCAAATAAGAGAAATTAGACTTAAAATTTCAATTTTTCAATCAAATTTTTGATTTTCAAACAAAAAAAAAATTTTAAATTTAAAATCCTGTCAGATTCCGTTAAGAATCAAAATTTTGTTATAG